CCTCCTCTTCCTCAGCCCCCTGTTCCTTAGGGAAAACAAACCCCATTCGTCAAGAAACCCACCTGCAAAATTACCTCCTTTCACCAGGAACTGCTCTGCATCAGGGTGGATTCACTGGAGGGTTTTAACCCTTTACCCCCCACTCCAAAGCAAAACCTCCTTCCCTGTGCTCTGGGCTGGTAGCTCTGTGGTGCTGGGGCCACAGAGTGAACCCAGGGTTGCTGACACCCAGAGCCCCAAACCTTGGGGGAAAGGGAAGGGGCTGGTGGCCAAGAGGGGGATGGGCAACCCACTAGAGCTGGTTTCTCCTGCTACAGGGAGGCCCTGAAGCTGGGTTTCAGCAAGCCATGGCCTGAAGCCATGGAGCTCATCACAGGGCAGCCCAACATGTCAGCTGATGCCCTGATGAGCTACTTCGAGCCGCTCATGACATGGTTGGTGAAGGAGAATGAGAAGAACAGGGAGGTCCTGGGCTGGCCCGAGTACAGCTGGACTCCTTACACAGGTACGCAGGGCTCAGCCAAGCACAGCAAGTCCATGATGGGGCAGAGCTCAGCCCTCACCAAGGTCAAGATGGGGCACATGGGACGGATGGAGCTGTCTTGGTGCCCCTTGGCTACCCCAAAACTCACAAGGTGTTTGGATGCTTCTCCTTGATTTCATAGAATCATAGAATTGTTTGGTTAGAAAAGAGATCATCATCTCTGAGATCACTGAGTCCAACTGTTTCCCATGGAGCTGAGTCTAAAGGGGACACAGCACCCAAGAGAAAAGCAAAAGGAGAGCTGGTGACCCAACACACCCCAGCCCAGAGGCACCAGCACCAACTATATCTCTCATTTCTTCATTTTCCAGCCACTCCAGCCCAAGCCAGCTCCAGCCAAACTGATTTCCTGGGCATGTCCCTGACCAGCAGTAAAGCCACAGCAGGTGGCTGGGTCTTGCTTGCCCTGGCACTCATCTTCCTGATCACCACCATCTTCTTGGGCGTCAAGGTCTTCTTATCCAGGAGAAAGGCCTTCAAATCCAGCTCAGAAATGGAACTGAAATGAAGCAGCCATCAGTGAGGGAGCACGGACAGGGTGCAAGCGTGGGCATTTGGCCAGGCTGGCAGTGATGCCATGGGCATATTTGCCAATGAAGCCATGGGTTTCCACAGCCCAGGACTCGTCTCTCCAATCAGGTCAGATGTTTTTTTCCACTATGCAAGAGCCAAAGCAGAAGAGCTATTTATTTGTCAACGTCTGCATCAGGGGAAGAGAAATTCAGGGACAGGCAGACACGGAGCTGCCCCTGCACCCAGGGCTGGGACCTGGTCCAGCCTGGACATCCACCAGCCATCTCCAGCCTGTGGGCAAAGCCACAGAGACTTTGAGTGACAGAGGGCAGTTTGGGGAGGGACAGAGCACATTCTCAGCCCAGGTTTGCCTGCTGCCAGGCTGTTGGCTTGCATGGATGAAAAATAAACCCATGTCTGGTCACCCTCAGAGTAGCAGCTTGGCTCCTTCTTGCAGGTGGGCTGGGATCTCAGTGGGACAGTGCTCTCAAGCTGGAGAGCTGCTACCTCAAGCAAATACAAATCCCTGGGGACCAGCCTGGCTTTGGGGCAACACACCTGCAGCACCCAACCTCCCCCATCCCCATCATGAAAGCTCAGCATCCCCTGGCAGCATCTCCACCCTCCCCAAAACCATGGCTCCCACCACAACTGACCATTGGTGGGTTCACCATGGAGCAGATGCCAAAGGAAGGGAATGAATTGGGGTCAGAAATCCCTGAAGTCCAGCCTGGAACTGTTCAAAGGGTCACCAAACCCAAGTTAGGACAGAGCTGGAGCTGATGACTGCTGCATTTATGTAAGAGCTGGGTGGGCTCCGAGGTCAGCGATCATCTCCCGCCCTCCAGCTCCTGATTATCTCGGGATCAGCGGTGCTTGAGGCTTTTTTTTCCTCTCCTCGTCTTTCTTCTGCTTCTGTAAATAAAACTTCGTATTTGTTCTGCAGTGATTAGGTGCAAAACTAATCCCAGGCTGGGGATTATTGCAGCCTTAAAGAGCCGTGATCTGCTGCAGCTTGGAGTAGCAGGGGAAATGAGGGGATCTGGGATGACCCACCCCTCATTTCCCATCTGATGGCCTCTGCCCTCGGTCATGGGGCAACTGAAGCCCAGAAGAGGCTCATCACACCCAGGAGAGGAGCAGAAGGCAGGTCTCTGCCTGCCCACGCTCCATTGTTTGGTTGTTTTCAATCCTCCTCCAAGCAGAACACACCTGTGGGGAGGTGAAACCCCAACCAAACCCTGACCATCCTTCTGCTGCAAACCCCAGAACTGAGGAGCAACCACCCCAGCCGCCTGCAATGACGCCATGTTCTTCCCATGGCCGTATCCTGATGTGTCTGGTTTATATCCCGACACACCAGGCACCCTCCTCTCCCCGCTTCCCGGCAGCTCAATGCTCACGGAGCAGAGACCTGGCATGGTGAGAGCTGGGTTGGAAGCCAAGTGTATTTTCAGCCTGGGAAGGCAGGATGGTGCAGGTGTGCAACATCCAGCTCAGCTTCTCACTGGTGATTTTGAGCCCTGTGGTTTCTTTTTGTTCCATGACTGGAGGAACAGAGGTCTCCAAAATCATCAAGAACTTAAAAGTTTCATGAAAATTGCTTTCTGGAGGTAAAAAAAAAAAAATAAAATAAATAAAATGGAGCCACATTGAACACTCAGGGACTGCAACACAAGGTCAGTCCTAATTAGACATCAGAGAATCCACATAGGAGCTGACTCTGTCCTGGAATGGACACTGGAAACAACTACAAAGGTGGGTGATGAGTGCACTGAGCTGTGGCCTCCTGGTCAGAGATAGATAGACAAGCCAAGCCCACAGTCCCTCCAGAAGACAGAGCTGGACACCAGGTTACCTTCAACACAGATCCAAGGTTCGTGCAGCAGATTAAGATGGACACCATGTTACCCTCAACACAGGTCCAAGGTCCATGCAGAAGATGAGATGGGGCTGGACACCAGGTTACCCTCAACACAGGTCCAACATTCCACTCAAGAGATGGGGCTGGATACAAGATTATGCCCAGACCAGCCCAGGGGGAGACTGAAGGTCCCACCTTGACCTTAAATTGACCTGATGAGCCAGGACCAGGGGTGTCCAGGTGAAGATTTCAGGGTAATTAAGGTGGGCTGGTGCCCTGAGGGCTCTGTCAAGCTGACACCAATGTTTCACAAGGTACCTTTAAAGCGAGGATGATTTCCTTGCCCCGTTGCAACAACATCTGGAGAGATTTTGCTGCCTTCTGGCTCCTGCATCACGCTTTCTGCTGAAATTAGGAGGCTTAGCAAAATTACTCCCTAAGGAGAAAAAAAAAATAAAAGAATTAAAAAAAAAGAAAAAAGAGCAGAAAAAAGAGGAGATTCCTCCTCAATTCACCCAACTCCTTGACAGGGAGCTCAGGAAGCAGCAGGTACCCCAGGTTTGGGGTGGGGGGAGGGCTTGCCCTGCACCACCCTACCTGTGCATGAAGCTCATAGAGGGGAGATTTGATCTAAAAATCACATGAATTCAAAGCAAGAAACACCTTGGGTTCCCTTCCCCAGCTCCGTGACCCTTTGTGCACTGCAGAAAGACATTGTCCATTTTTTTTAATGTTCATTATCTACCACGGGAAGGTGGCTGGGGGGGGGTTTCCCACACCCCGTGGCCCCTCGGTGCTGGCAGGGGCACAGCCAAGCCTGGTCTATTCTTAGTCGGCGGGTGGCCGGGCCGGAGCAGGCTTTTTTTAGTCGGCGGGTGGCCGGGCAGGAGCAGGCAGGGTGCACGGGGCCGCGTTCCTCACATTCCCCTTCCCCAGGGACAAGGAGCACTCGGAAATATGCAGCCACAGCTTGGCAGCAGCTGGGGGCCATCAGTGGGGGCCCCACTGGGTGGGGGAGATGGGGTAGGCAGTGTGGGGGACGTCATGGGGGACCGTGTCACAGGGATGTGGGGACTCCCCATCCCTGCCTGTGGTGCCAGCACCATCCTTCCCTCCCTGCTGTTTAGGGCTGAGGGGGTAAGGGTGAATTTGAGGGTGAGGGGCAAGCGGGGGACCCCAAAGTCCACCACCCAGCAAGCTCAGACTCTCCCCAGCCCTATGGCTTAGCTACAGTTCCCTACCAAGGGCGACAGTGGCCAGGTCCAGCCGAAATGACACCCCCACCCTCCCCGTGTCCCCTCCATCCTCCATTGAGCATCAGGCACCTGGGTGATGCCACCCTCACTCATGGACACCAGGCACTGGGCACCCAGTTGGGTGCCACCCTCACCCGGGGGTGCAAACTGGGCTGACCCCCTCCCCATCCCCACATGGGCAGCATCCCCCCACCTCACTTCCTCGGGGTGCCTCGGCAGCAGGACCCCAAAGCAGGCTGAGCCCATGTCCCCATGCTGCTGGGGATTGTGCACAACCTTTGGGGCTCCCCCTCGAGCTGACACTGTCTCCCCACCAAGACCTCACAGGTGACAGGGAGAGAATCACCCCAGACTGAAAGTGCTGGAGCCCTGAAGGACAGGGAGCCCGTGGCACTCAGATCCTCTCCCCCCATGCCCAGGAGGGTTCCCAGCCAAACAGACCCACTGTGGCCACAGCCAACCTCCTCCTGCGGCCGCATCCTGCCCTCCCTGCAGCATCACCGTGAGTTACTGCAGCCTCCTGCTCACCCCATCCATCCTCCTAGCCCCAAGGACAACAGGCGAGTCACGAGCCTGACCCGTGCCTCAGTTTCCCCGCTGTGCAGTAAGGATGGGCAGGATGCCAGTGTGGCTGCCATGAACCGAGCTCACCACATCCCAGAGCCAAGTTCCTGCAGCTTTTCCTGCCACTTCTGAGTGGGAAGTGGCTCCTGTCAGGAAACAAAGTCTGTGACTTGGTTTAATGTCACCAAGTCCTTCCCAGGTTTGCAGCCTCCCATCAGACCTCCCCTGGGATGGTGTGGCGGAAAGCCCAGGCTGATGAGGGTTAATTTTGGCTGCACATTTAACCATTGTTTGGTTTGAGTGGGTTTATTTTATACTTAGCAAACAAACAGCTCGGCAGTGAAAGCCTGGAAAAATACATCAGGATTTGGAGTGATGAGGTGGAGGAGGGAGCCAGGACAAGGAGCATCCTTCCCCCTGCAAAATCCATTTACAGCCCCAGTTCCTCCCTCCCCTGTCACGTCCCTGGAGCATCTTCCAAAAGTGAAGGGCAAAGCAGGGGCATGAACCATGCCAGGGACACCTGAGCCTGGTTGGGGACAGCCCTTGGTGGCTGCAAGCAGCTTTGGGGACAGCAAGAGCCCCGTCTCTCCCTTGCTGGTTGTTTGCAGTGTGGCTCTAATTACAGAAATGTGGAGAAACGCCGTCTCTCCGTTGGCAAACATTTCTCCCCGCAAGCGTCAGCCGGCAGCTGCTGTGCTGGGATTTAAGTGGGCGCCCGTCCCCTTCATCCCACACCTCCCACCCCAAATCCACACCTCATTTCATGGCTATACCCCATCACTCAATGCTCCTGCACCTGCCTGGGGCAGCCCCTCACTGGGTGGGTGATAATTTCCTGCACAGATTATAATTAATTTCCTGCACAGATTATAATTTCCTGCACAGATTACAGTTCCCTGCACTCCCAGGTGGCTCCTTATGCTCTTAAACTGCAGGAGTGGAGAGGGGAAGGACACCCTTTGGGAAGCACCCAGGTCTTCTTTACCCTGGAAATCAGGTGATTTCCCAATGATTCTCCAGGGTGTGGGAAGGAAGGAAAGCAAAGGAAAGGAGCAAAACCTCAAAAACACTCGAGGAGGAGGAGGAGGAGAGGGGGGGACCGAGTGAGGGAGGAGGAGGAGGAGGAGGAGGAGAGCAGAGCAGGGAGAGAGAGGATTACTGCTCGGTTGAATTAGAGGGAGCCCTTCAGCTGCCTCAAACAGACGGAGAATTTGCCCAGAGACCCCAATTCTTCCTGTTTGGGATCAAATGTAAGCACAGGATTAACTGCGAGCATATGCTTAAGACCCAGGGAATTGAAAGAAGTCT